CATTCATCTCTTGACAAACTGGAAACTCCTCACAATTTCTCAGTCTTGGATTTTTCTCTTCATACTCATGATTTAAAACGTGCAGTTCAATGCTCGAAACTCGGACCCGCCAGCACCAGGAAAGGCTAAACTCCTACATAAGAGACAGATTAGACCAGTTCTCCTATCCTATCATAGGGCTTGCCGATTCTTTTCTATCAAGGCAGACTCTTCCACTAGTTCACCCACTTTCCCTATATTTTATTCTCCTGTCTCTCTCTCTTTCAACTTTCCGCTCCCTTCAATTCATCGGACCGTTCTCATCCTTCCTCACTAGATTCAATATTACCTTATTCGTTTTCCTTTCCCCTTTTTCTCCCTTCAAAAAGTACTTGCGCACAACTATTACATAACATACACACTGCCGACCGTCTGTCATAACATGTATAATTTTATATCAACAATGCGAAATTATTATACAAACCTCGTTCCGGCAATATTCTGTTAGCATTGTTTTAAATTCGCTCTTAAATCTACCTCAATAAAATGTGCCGTCAATTCTTTTTATAAATTATATTAATTTTATTTTATAATTTAAATAACGCGTTCCCCCCTTTCCAATTCATACCCCGATTCCAACTATCAACTCGCAGTCCAATCCCAGGTAAAGAGATTTTAGTTCTCTGACCTAAAAGTGGACCACCCGCCGTACGTCGCGATCGGAGTAAACGGACCCCTCTAGTCCCTGACCTGTATCGCGCATACGTAAGTACGTAAATACGTGCGGGACTCTCAAGCGTGAGTACACGTTGCGCTCTTTCTCCAGGACGTAACAAAACAATACTCTCTATTTGGTGGGATATGGAGGATGTCGTGTATTATGAACTGTTAAAACCGAACGAAATAGTCACCTCCGAACGTTCCCAGGTAGAACATAGAAGTCATAATGATATCATAATGATGTCAATATGACTTTATTTGTCACTTAAACGTCACTGACAATAAATGACACAAAAATGATATTGTTACGTCTTGGAGGAGGAACGCAACTTGACGCTTGCTTTCGCAAGTTGCTCCGACGTACTCGCCAGTCTGCGGTGCAGATCAAGGATCGGAACGACCCCTTTATCTGGCGCAGACGTACGTCGGTGGTCCTTTATTTAGGTCAAGGAACTGAATGCTTTTACCTGGGATAGGACCGTGAGCGACGGTTGAGGGATGGGAGAATTTTTTGGTTGAGATTATTATTTGGAATTATTTAGAAAACGTGATTGGCTTACAATTACAAACAACTTATTTTATTAGTAATTAGACGGATATTCACAATAAAATAAAATTTATAAGCTTTTATAATGTGTACGTATACATATATGCATAAACAATCGCGGTCTGAGCAAAATTCCGTGTTCGTTATGTCCGACTGTGATCGAAAAGATTGGCCACTGGCACCTGATTTAACAATTAAAGCGGAGTGCCAAGGGACTAGAAAGAGAGAAGCAAAGGAAAGGAAAAGAAAAGAGAGAGAAGAAAGAAGAAAATGAAAAGCCAGGGGTCACTCAGGCAAAAGAAAGTATAAATAACTTACTGCTGGTTCTATGATGTTAGTCGACAATGAAAAGTGTAATTGCTACGTGTCTGTGAGGATGGACCCAAGTTTTGCACCAAGAACAGGAAACTGGTTTCAGCAGGATCGCTCGCAATGCCCCAACAACGCACGAGATCGTTGCACAGAAGAATTGACAACTGACGAATTCTGATCTGCCTCACTAGTAGGGTTGGTTATTAAGAGACCCTGAAGGGATGTTGGAGAGAAGACTCTGTGCTGGCTGCGGGTCGGTCGAGAGGAGAAGTAGAAGTGACATAGCCTTTTCATTTTTACCAAAAACGTCACCTCGGTCGAGAGGTGGGGTTAGGGAAATTGCGTCAGGCTCCAAAGTTTATGTCCAAACATGGGTATAGGATTTTGTTGGAAACTCTTCGGAGGTAGAGTTTTAGTGGGGTTCTTAGATAAATATGATAAAGGATCGGGTATATATGGCAGTAAAAGACTTCAAGGTTCCGCTAGGGTTAGTCAGAGGTTGTGCGCAATAAGAATTTATGAATAACGTGGGAAACGCATGAGTTTCCGAAGATCAAAGGTTAGTAATATCATATAACAGCATGAAAGATTGTCTGGTCGGTCCGTCTTCAAGGAAAATTATTGCTCCGAACAGGAAGTTATTTAAGGTTATTTGGAGAGGAGATATATGGCCAAAATGACTCAGCGGATCTTTTCCGACGGAAATAGAGGAAACTCCGGTGATTAAAGCAGAGAGAAAAAGAAAGAGAAATCTGCGTGTGTGACGTCACTGTTCTCGGAGGGTCGCGGAATATGAACATTTGGTCTTATATTAGGTGCGCAACTAAGTTCCCGCTGTTTTTCAAGAGATGGCTCCAGTAGTAAGTGCTGGCTGATTGTGACATAACCAAAACGTCATGAACCAAGCTTAGACATATGGTAAACAAACCGTTTTGACACATTAGTGATTCTGTTTTTGCGTCATATACTTTTGATTGTATGAAAATGTCTTATTTTGTGCCAAATAATCGTCATTTGCAGGAAGTGTTGCTTTTCTTCTTTCATTCGAAGAAAACGGCGGCTGAAGCGCATCAAGAACTCCAAAAAGTTTACGGAGATGCTGCTCTAAGTGAAACAACGTGCCGTGATTGGTTCCGTCGCTTCAAAGACGGTGAATTCGATGTTGACGATCGTTCGCATGAAGGAAGGCCAAAAACCTTCGAAGACGCTGAATTGGAGGCATTGCTCGATGAGGATCCGTGCCAAACGCAAAAAGAGCTTGCTTTAGGAGCATTAGGAGTTACCCGCCAAGCCATTTCCAAGCGATTGCATGCGTTGGGAATGATTAAAAAACAAGGAACTTGGGTTCCTTATGATTTGAAGCCAAGAGACGTTGAGCGTCGTTTTTTCGCCTTGAACAACTGCTCCAGCGGCAAAAAAGGAAGGGTTTTCTTCATCGCATCGTTACGGGTGATGAGAAATGGATTCATTACAGCAACCCAAAGAGAACAAAATCATGGGGACTGCCCGGTCATGCTTCTACGTCGTCGGCTCGGCCGAATATTCACGCTGAGAAGGTTTTGCTGTGTATTTGGTGGGACCAGGGCGGTGTTATTTATTATGAGCTGTTGAAACCGAACGAAACCATCACTGGGGAACGGTATCGAACTCAATTGATGCGATTGAGCCGAGCACTGCGCGAAAAGCGGCCACAATACAAACAGAGGCACGAAAAAGTGATTCTACAGCATGACAACGCTCGACCTCACGTTGCCAAACTCGTTAAAACCTACTTAGAAACGCTCAAATGGGAAGTCCTACCCCACCCGCCATATTCCCCAGATATTGCGCCGTCCGATTATTACTTGTTCCGTTCGATGACACATGGTCTAGCTAATCAGCAATTCCGTTCATATGAAGACATCTCAAAATGGCTTGATTCGTGGATAGCCTCAAAAGACGAACATTTCTACCGTGACGGTATTCGAGCTCTGCCAGAAAGATGGGAAAAAGTTGTCGCTAGCGATGGACAATATTTTGAATGATTCATTTGTAACCATTTTTTCACAATAAAGTTGCATTTTCATCAAAAAAACAGCGAGAACTTAGTTGCGCACCTAATAATATGAAATGCAATCCGCCCTACTTGACAACAAATTCAAAGTACGCGGAGTCCGCAGAACGTAACAATATAAAAATGGCAAAAGTATATATATGCTGCATTATAAACATAAACACTTTAAAATAATCACTTTAGTTTCTGAAATATTTATATCGCTTAACTATATCGTTACATTTGTGTTAAAAATAGAATAAATAAATATAAGTAATATGTAAGAAAGATGATAACCTTGTGACCAAATCTTGAAATTTCGTTTATCGTAATATTTTAGTGACATTCATACCCAGATAACACACAATATTCTATAAATATTCAATGCTGCATCCAATATACTGTTACAAGAATATTCTCAACGAAATCATGTATAAATATTAATAGAATATTTTTATTTTGTAGAATAGTCTATAAATCTATTTAAAATATTACAATATAAAAATCGATAGAAATATATTAATATTCCATAAATGTTCACTGAATGTAACGAAACTAGTCAGAGCAACGAATTCAAACGAACACGCCACTTTTGGTCTGTCTTTCTCAGCTGCATGTTACACTGGTGCGTGTAACAATGCAGCTTTTTTTATAACGGTGGGGAAATCCTCATGGATACCCTCGCCCCTTTGGGAGGGCGGGGGTTATGCAGGACTTTTACCGGCTAAAACCCCACCGGGGTATTTACCGATCGGGCTGTGATGAGGGGAGTCAGAGGAACTACTCCTGCATTCCTTCCCCAACACCCCGGCCCCAGGGCTTTGACCGACAGCCCCACGCCCGACTACCGCGCCCCTCCCACAAAGGGAGTCAGGTCGCGGTACCCCGGCCAGTTGCCCGGCCGGGTTGGCCTTCCGGTTACAATTAAGGAGAGGGGGAATACCCACCCTCTCTCCTGGCCTCCTCCTTACCTGAGGAGAGGAATGAAGCCCGTCCTAAAACAGGCCTCCATTCCCCTTTTACCAACCTTTACCGACGCGCGGGGGAGGCGGTTTTTATACCCGTCGCCCTATCCCGCGCGTACAGAGGCGGGCCCAAGGCGGCCGAGAAGGTCCCCGACAGATCGGGGGCGGCTCCTCGGCCGGCGCCACCATCGGTCAGCTATTCAACCCCGGGGAAGCGCCGCCGGCCCCGCCGCTGCCTGTGGTTGCCAGGTCGGCGCTCCCATTCGGTTGCCTCCTTCCGGGACATAATGTCCTTGCAGAAGGAGACCGCCAAATCCCACGCCTCCTCGCTCCCGCACATGGATTGAACCGTGCGCGGGAGCGAGAGGGCCCCCACTCGGCACCCCACTGCTCGGGTGAGGAAATGGCGCTATCGGGTCCATACGCGGCATGAACCCAATGTATGTTACACCGTGTTCTCGCTCACTGAGCAGTGGTGGCAGTCCATGGTGGGATCCTTTCCAATCCGGTGCAGGTACCGACCGAAGCACCTGTGCCCGATCAGCACCTGCACCAAATGAAAAGAGAGTCCACGTCCCCTCCTGTCCGCTACCTCGGGCAGACTGGGGTGGACAGCTTCGGTCGTTCGGAGCCCGAATCCGGAGGGGTCAGCCAAGATGGCCGACCATCTCTCCAAAGTCCGTGCCCTGGCCAGGGATCTCAAGACTGCCAGGCCTCTGACCGTTAGTCCCTCCCCCTCCTCGCAGAGCTCGCGCAACCTCCAGTAAAGGGTGCACCGCTCCTGTGCAAGAAGCTCCACGGGAGGGGAGCCGGCCAGGGTGGTCGCCACCATGTATGATACAGTGTGGTACCCCAAAATCGCGTTTACCACCACTGGCCACATCGCCTGGCGCATCAGGCTTATACTGCGGCCGGAAGCCATGAGCTCGAGCGCCCATATGGACGTCCCATAGAAGGCGATCGAGAAGACCACACCAACATACAGGCGGCGAGTCCGCCATCCAGGTCTCCTTTGGGTCTGTATCTATCTGGCGAGAGCCAGACCAGCTCCGCGGACCTAACCCGGGGGACTAGGCGCCAGAAGTGCGCCTTGAAGTCCCAGCGACTATCCAAGGTCAGGCCCAGATACTTGATCGTGGGCCCGACCTGGACGTGGACTCCATCCACTAGGACCCGGGTCTCCCACGGCGCCCCCCGACTGCCGTCATGAAAAAACATGGCAGTCTTATGGGACGCCACCTTTACTACATGGGCTGAAAAGTCTTTGGCTTAACAATGAAAAAATTTTTTACGATTTTTTTAATGAAAAAAGTGTTTTATTCCTCGACATAATCTCCATTTAGAGTAATGCACTTAGTGTAACGTTCCGCTAACATTTCGATGCCGGTCTTATAGTGCTCGGTGTCAAGTCTCCCAAAATAGGCATTTGTTTCCAACTTTACCTCCTCATTCGAGTAAAATCTTTTACCAGCGAGCCACTGCTTCAGTCGGGGAAAAAGGAAATAGTTGCTGGGGGCCAGGTCTGGAGAATACGGGGGATGCGACACCAATTCACAGCGCAATTTCTTTAATTTATCGGTCGTATCGCGAGCCGAGTAAGCTGGAGCATTGTCTTGGTGAAACAAAATTTTTTTCTTTGCCAAATGTGGCCGTTTGACCTTGACCTCGTCGTCCAATCGATCCAGTAATGTACAGTAATATTCTTTATTGATAGTTTTACCATGTTCAAGATAATCAATGAATATTATGTTATGCGCATCCCAAAGAATACTGGCCAAAACCTTGCCGGCTGATTGTTGTGTCTTCGGGCGCTTCGGACGGCTTTCACCAGGCAATAACCATTCCGCTGACTGCCGATTGGACTCCGGTGGGTAGTGATGGATCCATGTTTCATCCATTGTGACAAATCGACGCAAAAATTCCTTCTTATTGCGGTTAAACAAGGCCAGATTTTACTTTGAAAGTCGAACACGTTCCGCTTTTTGCTCAATTGTCAAAAAACACGGCACCCAACGCGCGCAAAGCTTTTTCATGTGTAAATATTCATGAATGATATGACCAACGCGTTCCTTTAAGATGCCTATGATGTTAGCTAACTCACTCAATTTCATTTTGCGGTCATTCAACACTATTTCACTGATTTTCTGGATGTTTTCTGGAGTAACTGCCTCATTTGGCCTTCCTGAACGTGGTGCATCATTTGTGCTCGTACGGTTACGACGAAACTCAGCAAACCAATATTTGATGGTTGAATTCGGTGGGGCAGATGTGCCGCAACATTTATCAAGCCATGCCTTTGCTTCAACAGTATTTTTTCCCATCAGGAAGCAATGTTTAATCAAAACACGAAATTCACTTTTTTCCATAGTAAAGATAAATTCAGAGGTAACGTCACTTCGAAAGCTATAACTTGTACACGAGTCAACGAAATATCACGAAATTTTTACAGCATCTAAGTTAAGGTTGGTACTCTATAGGAAATATAAAGATTTTTAGTTTGTGGCGCCATCTATATGTCAGGCCAAAGACTTTTCAGCCCATGTAGTAGACCCATGTCCTTGATGGTTCCCACTACGGACGCGAGTGCCGCCTCCATTCGTAGGCGGGCTTCCCCCAGCCATCCCCCCGTCCACCACTAAGGTGTCATCTGCATATCAGATGACGTGGCAGCCAGCGTGGAGGGGAGAGCGCAGCATCTTGTCGAACGCGATGTCCTATAGCAGCGGGCCGAGAACTGACCTCTACGGGACACCGCGCTCCTTAGTGCACCGGCCCTGGACCCCGCCTCTCCCCGAATAGGCGACATTCCTGCTTCCAGATTAGGCCAATAGGATTCTCCGGAGGTAGATGGACACTCCGTGATGTTCGAGGGCCCGTCTCACCTCTGGCCGGGGCAGGGTGTTAAAGGCGTTTGTTATGTCCAAAGACACCGCCAGTAACACCCCGCCCCCCTCCTCCACGACCATGCGGGTCAGGTCCCGGACGTACTGGATAGCATCCAGCGTGGAACGTCTGGACCTGAACCCATATTGACGGTCGTGGAGATTCGGCCCCTCCGAGGACAAATGCTGGATGAGGCGGTCGGCAATGATACGTTCAAGCATTTTGCCCGCCTCGTCCAGCAAGCATATCGGCCTGTAGGGCGACGCACTACTCGGTGCTTTGCCCTCCTTCGGAAGGAGAACTAACTTGGCCCTTTACCACTCTGAGGGGAAAACCCCCTCCTTGAAGTGCCTGTTCAACACTCCCCGCGTGGCGACGGATAAGCTCCCCTCGCCGAGGGCGAGAACCCAGGCGCTACCAGGAATTCCGTCGGGACTTTGCCCTTGGCCCCGAGCCTTCTCCTGGCCCCTGTGAGCTTCTCTGGAGTGACTTCCAGATCCTCGTTCTAGTCCCCATCTTGTACTCGGGGAGGCCCTCTCCTCCCTCGGAAAGAGGGTGTCGAGGAGCCCCTCGAGGACCAGGAGTTCTAAGGCTTTCGTAGGCGTGGGCGCCCACGGACGGATTTTTCCCACTGTCCGCTTATGCGGGCGCCCCCACGGATCCTCGTCCAGGGAAATCACAAGTTGCTCCCAGGCTTCTTCTTTGCCTCGGCTATGGCAGCCTTAAGGGCTCCTCTCGCCTGGAGGTAGCCCTCTTTCTTCCTCGCGGAATCCTCGCCGTTTCGTCGGGCCCAGGTATACGCCCGTCTTTCTCTTTTTTTGTTAACGTAGGGGAAATCCATCATGGATACCCCCGACCCTTGGGAGTGTCGGGGGTTATATCAGACTCCTACTGACTAAAACCCCTGCGGGATGTCTATCATTCGGACCGTGGTGGGGGAGTCAGGGGAACTACTCCCGTATTTCCTCTCTGATACCCCGGCCCCAGGGCTCTCCGGGAGCCCCTCGCCTCGAGTATCGCACCCTGTCCCACAGAGGGAGCCCAGGGTGCGGTCCCCCGACCGGTTTTCCGACCGGGTTGGCCTTCTGGTGTTCACTTGGAAGTAGGGGGTATCCACCCTGCCTCCGCTCCCCCTAACCCCTCAGAGAGGAGAGGGAGGGGGCTGGGGAGTGGAGCCCAGCCCCAACCAGGCTTCCACTCCCCCTTCGCCTACCCTATCCGACATCTGGGGGGAGGCGGGTGGGTGATACTCACCCGTCACCCCCTCCCCCCGCACTTCCGAAGGCGGGCCCGAGGCGGCCGAGGAGGCGACCTCCGGCGAGCCGGAGCTGGTCTATTCTCCTCCTCGGCCGGCGCCCCCTCGGGCCCGCTGCCCACCCCTGGGGAGCGCCGCCCTCCCCGCCGCTGCCTGCGGCGGTCTCCGAGACGACGCTCTCATTCGGCGGCCTCCTTCCGCAATATTACGTCGCGACAGAAGGAGGCCGCCTCTCCCCACACCTCCTCGCTCCCGCACATGGCTTGCACCATGCGCGGGAGCGAGAGCGCCTGCTCCCCATAACCCACTGTCCGGGCGAGGACACCGCGCTGCTGGCCCCATGCCTCGCATTCGGCCACCGTATGGTGCACGGTGTCGTCCCGCACCGGGCAGTGGTAGCACCCGGTGGTGGGTTCTTTTTTGATCCGGTGCAGGTAATGCCCGGACATCACCTGCACCAGATAATATGTTAGCCTGCGCCCCCTCCTGCTCAGCATCTCTGCCAGGCAGGGGCGGACAGCTTCCGTCGTCAGCCGCCCGAACTCTCGTGGACATAGCGTCAGCCCATCGTTCGAGAGGCCGGCCGACCGCCTGGGACTTCAAAGCCGCCAATTCCCTGGCCGTCGTCGCCTCATCCCCCTCGCAGAGCTCCTGCATTCTCCAATAGAGAACACTACGCTCTTCAGCTAGGAGTTCCACAGGGGGGAACCGGCCAGGGTCGTCGCCGCCATGTACGACATGGAGCGGAACCCCCGTATCGCCCTTACGATCACCGTCCTCAGCGCCTAGCGCATCAGGTTTCTGCTTTGGTCAATGGCCATCCGGAGCACCCATATAGGCGCCCCGTAGAGGGCGATCAAGAGAACCACTCCGACGTACAGGCGGCGAGCGTGCCAACCCGGGCCCCCTAGGTCTGCATAAGTCTGGCTAATGCCAGACCTGCTTTCCTCACCCGGGGAGCCAGGTCCCTAAAGTGGGCCTGAAATCCCTTCGGCTGTCCAAGATCAGGCCCAGATATTTTATCTTTGGCCCGATCTGGATACAGACTTCTCCCACCGAGACCTAGGTCTCTGGTGACGCCCTACGGCGTCCGTTGTGGAAAAGGACAGTCTCCGTTTCCTGGGGCGCCACCTTCAGATCCAGGTCTTCGATGGTTCTCACCACTGAGGCCAGCGCCACCTACGCCTGGAGGCGCGCTTCCCCCCAGTCCCTCCCCTCGGTCATCAATAGTGTGTCATACGCGTAACAGATGACGTGGCAGCCGAGGGGGAGGGGCGTACGCAACACCCTGTCGAACGCGATGTCCCATAGCAGAGAGTCCAATACCGACCCCTGCGGGACACTGCGTCCCATGCTCCGCCGGCCTTGGACCCCGCCCTTCTTGGAGAAGGCAAGGTGCCTGTCCCCAAAATATCCTGCCAGGATGCGGCGATAGGCGGGCACCCGATGGTGCTCGAGAGCCCACCCAATCTCCGGCCAGGACAGGGTGTTGAAGGCGTCCGTTATGTCTAGTGACACCGCCAACAACACCCCGCCCCTCCCCTCCACGACGAAACGGATCAGATCCCGGACGTACTGTATCGCGCCCAGCGTCGACCGTCCAGGCCTGAACCCGTATTGCCTGTCGTAGAGGTCCGGCCCCTCTGAGGACAGGTGCTGGACGAGGCGATCGGCAATTATGCGTTCGAGCAACTTACCCGCCTCGTCCAGCAGGCAGATCTGCTTGTAGGCCGGCGGCCCACCAAGTGTCTAACTCGCCTTTGGGAGGAGGACCAGTTTGGTCCTCAATTAGGGATGGCGCGACCTCCGACTCCCCCACGACTACGGCTGTTGGGGATATGGCTATTGCCTGCAACTTCCTCACCTTTTCCACCGTTTCCGTCAGGGGGGATGGCGCCGCTTTCTTCTTCTCCTCCTTTGCTGCTGCCGTCTCCTCCTCCGGTTCCATCCTGGAGATTTTGGCCTCCATGGCTTCCCTCTTCCTTTTTTCCCTTTGGGGCATCACCTCCTCCAGAATCTCCATCTCTTGTGGGGTTGGGTTGTGGGGACGGGGGTTGCTACCGCCATCTCCATCTCCGTC